TTGAAAAGCTTAGCTGTTACTCTTTCATTTTTCACTAAACATGTTTCTTAAAAATTTTATTACACTGGGGAAAAGTTTTACAGTTTTATATAGCAATTTTACAGCAGATATCTGTGAGATATAGCAAAAAATAAACCAGACATTGTTTCTAAATTTTCTCTGATCTTTCTGAAAGATATTGATGATTAAGGGAAGGATGTGTTTATGGCTTCCAAGGGATTTGCAGGGCAAAGAAGTGTGATTTACTCTGAGAACGCCACAGCCCCCTGACCAGTGTATGTATGAGGCTGTGGAAAGAGAACAAATGAGAAGCAGGAATTCTACAGCTATTGGAAGTCACAATAAAGGGAGAAAAGGTATAAGTTTTTTTTTTTTTTTTTTTTTTTTTGGATAGTGGGTTTTGCTTCTCCTGTCTAAGAGAATATAAGGTTTTGATTTCTTTTCAACATAGCTATTTTATTTTCAACATAGCAATTTTATTTATTTGCAGTTATTTTGTTTATTATAAAATGAAAAATCCTGCATTTTTCATTTTAACCACACTTTGTATCTATGATCCATTCATAAGATATTTTCTGAAGCAATTTCATTGTTCTATAAATTAAAAATACAATAATTAATGGCCATTTGTCACAGTGATACAATTAGAAACGGTAATTGGTGATTTTAATGGAACACAAAATTCATCATTATCACGTTTTAGTGAAATGTTCTGACTTTATTGATTTTATTTTATTTACTAACATATTCAACTAATTTTCATCAAATTGTCTTACAGCATTCTGATGAGAAAATTAGACACAGAGTACCAATTACATCAATATACTTATTTCACATAAGGATAAAGCACAAATCCTACATCTCCACTGAAATGTGAAAAGCTAATGCCTTATATGTTCCCAAACTATTTAAAGTAGTAACTTTACAAGAAAAACATGTGCTTACTTTTGTAAATTGTGGATATAATTCTTTAGAAACACAAGCATCTTTTATTTTTTTCTCTTTTTTTCATCTTTTATTTTCATTGAAATTTATGCACATCTTACACAGGTCCACGTAATTAAAATAATAATGTCTAACTACTATTAGCATATTCATGCATATCAATAAGTTGAATAGAAGCAACAAAAATGTTCATAGATGAGTGAATAAACAACAAATAACAAATATTACATTCACCCTTAGGAGGGAAGAAAGTTCTGACACATGAGAGACAGTGGGTGAGCTTGGGGACCCTGAGCTCAGTGAAACAAAGCAGTCACACAGACACACTGGTGCACACACACAGAGCTGCATGATTGCACTGACAGGACCTTTGCAGAGTAGTGAAATTCATGTAGAAAGAAAGCAGATGGCAGGTGCTGTTGGCCAGGGAGGGAAGGAAAACAGTTTCAGTGATGAATGTAGGGAGGATGCAAGTTGGGGCCTCTGCATGGAGGACATGCTTAGCAATGACTCCCAGAGTAGCACACATTAAGCTCAGAGCCTCACCCACATGCCTACAAGTGCTGTGTGGCTTTACAACTGACCTATTGTTCACATCATCTTCAAAATCTAGGACAGTCCTGAAATTAGGAGGCTTGGAGGTCCTTCCAGACAGTGAGTTCAGGAATTTATTTAGTTATTCAGCACTGTGAGCCCCTGGAGGCAGACTATGCAAAGCACATTGCACGAAAGTGCAGAATACCTGTTTCTGTCGTGGTTAACTTTAAGCAAATAACCGAAACCCTCCAGCCCTGCATGCAGACCGAGTATACTGCTCAAGCGCTGTAACTAGGGGTTGTGCCTCTACTGCCCTTTGGGCTTAGGACCTGTGTTTATGTGGGGTCCGGTGTGTAAAGCACAGACAAAGGGAATGCCTTTGCTGCCCTGTGCTGAACTAAACCATGCCCCAGTGCAACAGTTAGCTCCCATGTCTCTGTGGTGTGGGCGTCTTGTCCAACAAGCTAGAACAGCTCTGGCACTAGCAAATCAGAGACAGAAATGCCCTTCATGGTACAGCTGCTGATGGGCTAAACAATAAATTTATCACATTTGATGTTAGATTAAAGAAGTTGAGTGTTTTGGCTCCTTATCTGGTTAAAGTTGTCTCTATGAGGATACTGCTTTGATTACAGCAAAGCATCTTGCTACTCTTAGTAAATGTGTGCATTTAGCACTATTGCCTTGCCTTCTGGAGAATCTAAGAAAATCACAAATGTTTTCAGTGTACGCCTCTGCAAAGTCAAACTAAATTTAGAAACATCTCAAGATGTAGTTGTCTGAAGTCTCAGTGTCTCCACATAACTGACCTGGTTAATTTTTTTGAATAGTATGTGAGAACGTCTTTCCGCTTGATCAAGGAATGCCAGGGAAAGTTCTATGAATTGGTAGTGTTAAGTCAATTATGCTTTATTATAGACATGTAGCTTGATTAGTTAAAATCTAGCTTGTTTATCACCATCATTTTAATGATAATATTATTTACTATGGTAAAGAAAAAATGGAGACAGAACAGCAAAATCTTAGCATCAAAGTGGTTACACACTGAAAATATCAATGCACAAACATCGTGATATTAAAGCAAAAATGTTCCACATAGAAGAAAGCAGAGAACCAGGAGTTCAACTACAATGTTTAATGCTTATAAGAATAAACAATCAAATTTGCTCTCCACAGAAGTAGAGGTGCAGTTCATACCCATGGCATTTTCCTATACAGCCAGGAAGTTAATTTCTTCTGTTATTCACATCTATGACGTGAAGGCAAGAACGAGGAAACAGTATTTCCATTTAACCAATAAAAGGTAATTTTAGAATTTAGTCTCTTTTAGGGAACAAGATTTAGCTTAAAACCTGAAAGACAAAGATTAACTTAGTTAGATGTGTTCAAATGTTTAAACAATAGAATCAAATTTAAATCTGTTTTAATAGTAACACGTATTGGATTTAGTTCATGTAGCTGATATTTAGTTTAAAAGTAGAAATAAGCGCTTCATAACAACTGCAGTTGTCAATATATTTTTCTTTTCATTGTGAAATAATATTCAAGATGTTCTACACATACACAGTTATCTTTTTAAACTGTCATATAAATGCCCACTTTGCTGGAAACAATGTACATAGTGCAGTACTACTCTGTGCAAAGAAACAAAGCCCGGAGTGATTTGTAGAGAGATGGATGCAAGTATGAAAAATGTTAATTGAAATCTTCAGACATTCAGCTTTTAATATCACATGGTTTCTCTTTTTTGAAAAACTTAACATACATAAATCACTAAATAAAAGTTCTGTTGTAGACAGAAAGATTTCTCGGTTTGATTCAGGACAAAATTAGAAAGCTAACACAAGCTTAAGCTTGGCACATAAAATCAATGGCATTTCAAAACCTGCAAGGATAACTTTCTATTTTCTGATGTTCTGGTTGGTCTCCTTTTTCAGAATGCAGTAGTTTGCCATCTAGAAGTCCCTGCCTTCCTTGGTTATTTAATTCCTAAGTATTTAATTTTTCCTGAGGCTCTGTGAATGGAATTTTTTTTCTGAATTTGTTTCTAGTGTGTTCATGATTAGTGTAATGGTTGCTATTGATTTTTGTATATTCATTTTGTGTTCCGCAACATTACTGAATCTGTGCTCTACTACAAAGAAAGGTACACTTAAGTCATTTGTAGGAAAAGTGTTGCATCTGAGACCATATCGGACATGTGAGACCACATTAAATATCACATTTCATGCACTTCCTACATGAGAAACCCAAAGGATAATGAGGAATAAGATAAAAGATGGATAAGAAGAGGCATGAGACAGACCTTTCTGAAAGAGGAAGGAGAGCAAGAGAAGGAAAGGAAGGAAATGCAAGGACACAGGGAAAAAGATGTGTTATCTACCTGCATGCACTCCCCACAGAGAAGGTAGACCCTGTCTGGAAGGATATTCAAGAATCACCGACAGAGTAACCTATGTGAAAAATGACCACCAAATTGTCTTTTCATTTTATGACCACCATAACATTAAAAAAAGAGCCACATTTCTCAAATCTCTACACCTCAGAAAATCCTCTTAAATTATTTCCTACTTTGTTAGAGTGTTAATGTTGTTCCTAGGACCTCATCACTCAAAAAGGCAAAGGTTATATGACTTAAATTTGCTTTATTCAGTTTGCTGGAACACGAATCCCACACTTTTGTAAACTAAACATCCAGCACTGTAATGCTTTGCAGATAATTTGTTCACAGTGCTGGATTAGTTGCTTTTTAGGATGGCTAAGAACACATTTCAGTGTTTCAATTTTATTTTAACAAGTTTATCTGAAAATAAGATGCAACTGAAAAAATGTGAGCAAGCAACATGGCATAAGCTAAAACACTGGTCACAGCAGAGCACTGTGTAGTTTGTAGAATGATAGGCAGGGAATTTAGAACAAAACTCTTACACAAACAGGGAAGCAGCTCATTTGTCTTATAAAATGTTTGTAAATGTAATATAGACTTTGAAAGAGGAAATGAAATCAACTTGCTGATTGAACACTACAAAAAACAAAACAGCTATGAAATGAAATATTTTTCTCTGTCTGAGAAGTCCTGTTTCATACCTTTAAAACATGAACTTGATGTACATTTAAGGATAACTACCATGTGTAATAGAAAGCCAGCACAAATGTAAATGATTAAATAAGTAATTTCTTCTCATACAATGATATTGGTGTCACGGAGGGCAGAAATGACACTTAAATACAATGCGCATTTCATCAAGAATTTGGATTTATTATGGTAATTAGCATTTTAGATGAGAAGCACATGCCATGAAAAGGCTAGAAGATAGAAAAAGTTAATGCTAATATTAGATCCAAGATAAACAACTCACAAAACCCAGAGGAAAGATTTCAAGTGGGTTTCTTCATGTTGACACAGATAATTTCTTTGAGGGTTACATATAATCAAGTCAATTTTTCACATGAAACATTGCAGTAATGAGATATCTCTCATCTCTTTTCCATCATCAGCATCTCTTCTGGTTGAAATCATGGTGCATGGGAACACCACCTCGGATTTCATTCTCCTAGGACTCTTTGACCATACCACAGCCCACCAGTTTCTTTTTGGAGTTGTCCTGGCAGTTGTGTTCACCTCAATTATAGGCAATGGCCTCATTGTTCTCCTGACCCACCAGGACTCCCAGCTGCACAAGCCCATGTACTTCCTCCTCAGCCAGCTCTCCCTCATGGACATCTTGCTGGTCTGTACCACAGTGCCCAAGATGGCTCATGGTTACTTGACTGGAGAGAAGTCTATTTCCCAGGCTGGATGTGGGCTGCAGATCTTTTTCTTTCTGACTGTGGGGGGTGGAGAGTGTTTCCTCTTGGCAGCCATGTCCTATGACCGTTATGTGGCTGTGTGCCACCCACTGCGGTATGCCACCCTCATGAGCTGGCAGATGTGTCTGACAATGGCTTTGGGGTCCTGGCTACTAGGGGCATCTGATGGGGTTATGCAGGCTGCCGTTACCCTCAGCTTCCAATTCTGCAGCAGACTTGAGATCGATCATTTCTTCTGTGAGGCCCCCACATTGGTGCATTTGGCTTGCGGTGACACCTCTGCCTTTGAGTATTTCATGTACATCTGCTGTGTGCTGATGCTCCTCATTCCCTTGTCCCTCATCCTTACTTCCTACAGCCTCATCCTCGCTGCTGTCCTGCGCATGCGCTCCACAGAGGCCCGTGAGAAGGCCTTTGCCACCTGCTCCTCCCATTTGGCAGTGGTCAGTCTCATTTATGGAGCTGCTATTTTTGTTTACATGAGACCCACATCCTACAGGTCAGCCAACCATGATAAGGTGGTGTCAGTCTTCTACACCATCCTCACCCCTATGATGAACCCCCTGATCTACAGTCTGAGGAACAAGGAGGTCAAAGAAGCCCTGAGGAAGTGTCTGAGGCAGTGTGGTGCCTTAAAAAGTGACTGACAGTGTGTTTATTTGCTCCAACTTTAAAGACCTCCCACAGCCAGTGTTTGAGATTTCCTACAGAGAAATCTTTCTGAGTACATCAGCTTTCTCTGTTTATTTCCCTTATAATTGTGAATGAATTAGCATACATTGGACTGTTTGCTTTCACTAGCAAGCAAATTTTTATTTCTCATAAAAATTTTTAAGTCACAAAGCCTTAGGAAAAATCTGTGGTACACTCCCACAATACCATTCCATTCAAAGAATAAGGCCCTTGTGCGATTTTGAGAAATCATTGCTTTCATTTGTTGTAAATCAAGACAGAATTTGCTCTGCACTTAATGCTTAGATCTGAGTGTTTTTCCTCAACCAGTTTTAACCCATTTCTGCCCTTGGAATTTACAAGTATGATGACGATATAGTCTCTGCCTCCTCAAAGATTCCCTCCGGCCTTTGCCTTTGAAAATCCACACAGGTTGCAGCTACAAGTTTGATTTCCATCCCTATTCTTTAGTTTACCTTACTATAACACTAAATAGCAATATAAACTGAAATTAGAGCATTATAGTGCCTTGACTTTTCTTATGTAAGTGTACCAAGTTTTAAAGTCTTCTCCACATTTTCACAGCCCTCAGTTTGCTCTTCCCTGTGGCCACGTAGTATTCTCTGCGTGAACATATTTCTGTTGGTCCATCATTTTGTTGAGGGACCTCTGCTCTGTTCACTCAGCGGTGGTATAAATAAAGCTGCTACTCACCTCCTTTGCAAGATCCTTTACCTCTCTTGGTACAAGTCTGATGAACTTCCTCGCAGTCTATTTTCAATGTTTTTGTCTTATTTTAGTCTCTGACAGGGATGAACACTAATTCCAGATGCTCCAGATATTACCAAAGCTTTTTCATTTTAGCCCACTTTCTTGAGTTATTAAAAACTAATTTTCTCAATTTACATTGTCAAGATAAGTAATGTGATTGAAAGCTTTAAATTTACTTACTATTGTTTGCATATTTTCCTTTGTAAAGCATTGCAGATTTGAGGGAAAAGGACAATCCATAGCTGTTTCAAAGCAAACAAATTTTGATTCAATAACAAAAGAATACATACATTTATAAGCCTATTAGAAGTTTTGAATAAAATTATATTTTGTCTTTTTTTGTGAATTCTACACATTTGCTGCTTCAAGTTTAGTGTTGGTGGTCATTTATTGTCAGAAGTTTAGTAATTTCATGTAGAGGAAGTGTATATGTAATAGATTTCTCCCAAATTCTACATGTGAATTGAAATTCTTCATTTTGGTTTTGCCTTGTAACAATTAAACCTATTCCATCTGTGGAATGATTCCCCTAAAAATCTGAAAGCCTCTCCTTAGTGTGTTACTTTTGCAGGAAAATAAAATGACAAAGAAAGAAAGAAAAAAAAATAGGAGCGAAACTGCTCAGGAGATATTTCTTATCTTTTGTTGGCAAATTATTGTACAAGTATAAAAATTTCAAAGCCATAAATTTGACATTTGTAAAGAAAATCTTGATTTCACAAAGGAAAAAAGTACGACTGCGCATTCACATTTATACGTTTCATCAGTATGATTCATTCACTTTCTAAGACAAAGTTATGAAATTAAAAAAAAAAATCTCTAAGACTGGGTAGTTTAAAAATTCATATCTGGAGACCAAGCTGTTGGTTACTTCCATGAATTTTCTTTTCCGGAGTCCTTTGTTTGCCATATCTCTTTCCTCCTGATTATGATTTAGGCAGAACTGTTTTCCCATCTCCTGTAACGTGGAAGCAGAGAATCTGCTGAAGACACTGCACAGGCACAGAGCAACAGATCCTTCTGCAGGGCCTGGAGCTGTTGTGGAATTACTATTTGAAGGTGTAGAAAGATGCCAACATGAGAATTTGTCCAAACCTGATGTCATGGTTGAGACTCATTTAGGTGTCTCAGCCAACTTACTGTGTGGTAAATCTTGTCTGTTCAGATAAACACAGGCCCACTTGATCAGTAGCTGTTTTGTTGAATACCTCCTTTGCACATTCACAAAGTATTGTAAATGAGCATTTTATTCCACACTGACTGAACACAAATAGTGTACTTTATAGCACAGCTAAATAGTAAATAGCATTATAAAAATATCAGAAATGATTTAATATAATTAAATACCAACATAATCAATATAAATCTTTCATTCAGTATTCCTTCTGTGAGTACATTTAGCTTGCTGTTTCACTTTTACTTTCCTCTTTCAGTCATAGCCACATCCTCGTGAAGTGTGTTCAGTGTTAATTCTCATTTGTGAAGCGTTTACATGTTACTAAGCTTTAGCCTTACCCAAAAATTGTGCAGAACAGTTGGACAAGAAAATCAGTTAATATAATGCAGGTCTCTAACATTAAACACATGGTGACAATAAGTATCCCAAATACATAGTATAAAATTTAAGCATTGTGTCACAATTATGTAACTAGAATCAATAAAAGAGTTTGGAAAATATCATTGGGATCTTTATAAATCATAAGACAATGCACCATTTAATAATTACAGCATCCATAAGTAAGTTTTTCCAGCCTAAAATGTAAAAAAGAGATGATCAGAACTTGCAGAAGTGTTGGGAGAGGAGGAGGAAAGAAGTAAAAAGATTCAGATGCTGTATTTATGTGTATCTAGTTCCAAAGATGAACGCATTCATCATGTACCACACACATGGACTAATTAAGAATTTATTAAGATGAGTCATGTACATATAGAAACTCTCCACAATCAATGTGCAAACGTGCTAATAAAGATAAAGGTAAAACAATAAGGTATTTTAAAAGAGGAAAAATAAGAACATTAATAAATATTAAAAACAGAAATAAAATACTTTCTGACTGCCTTAGCATCTTTAAGTGAAATAGAGAACAAAAATTCTTTTCACTTTTCTACAGTTAGTGGAAATAATTGGCTCATATACCACCAGCTTATTTCACATGAAATAATGTAATCTCAAATTCACAACTGATGCCAGTGAAAAAATAAGTAATGCATTTCTCCTCAAGGAAAACTAAAAGTGATTATATAGCAAGCAATTTACCCACAAGTAACAGAATATTAGAAAAGCTTACATATTCATAAATATATATGCAGTGCTAGAAAGTGGAATGTAACAGTTATTATTCAATTGGAGATATATATATATATATTATATATATTATATATATAATATATATTATATATATATATATATATATATATATATATATATATATAGCATGTTATTGAACAATATCACTCCAAATTTTATTAAACAGAAAATCTAATAATATAAGTGAAACAAAGATTATTCATTATATACACCGGCCACTAAAATAGGCTAATACTCATTAACATTCAGATGACTGGTTATAAGTTTCACTTTAAGTTAAAAAAAAACATAAAAATAACTTGATAAGGACAGACTATGAGTGAAACTCATATATAATTATTTGAGCAATCTTTTGCTTTCTTCAATAATCTGAATATGTATAAGAATATAATGCCACACAGGTATGTGAAGAAAATCATTTGTCCCTCTCTCTGCACCTCTCATCCTAGCTGTGTACAGATGGAGATGAGAGTCAGTGGGAAGCTCTTCCTGGCATTAAGTGAGGCACTTTGCTCACAGCAGTGCTGACCAGTCACACACTAACTTTGTGTGAAGAAGTTGCTATAGAAAAGCCTTATGCATAAAAAAAGAAAAGCCTTATGCATTATTTTTGAAACATATCTTTAAGAACATATGATTAGTATAAGCTTAAAAGCCTTACAAATACAACTTTTGTATTCATTTAAGTTATATTTCTTTGGGAAATTAATAGCATTTTTGATCATAAGGATCTAAGTTCAACATCTTTTAAAATGTTTGCTAGAGATAAATGTTAATTGTTACAAAGGATCTCCACTGACCAATACTCCATTTAACTAGGAAAAGAAGTCATGGAAATGGGAATGACATGATAGTTGGTGTAGTGGAGTAGTATCTAAGTTATACAGATTCATGTCAATGCCTTGCATGTTTGAAATAGTGAAGTTTAGTCACTCTTGTTTTCCTTGGTGGCAAAGAATTGTTTAAATGGTAACACGTGACAGTTAACCTTAGCTGCTCTCTTGGCTGCTGTGAACACAGCCTTCAATGGGGACAGCACAATTCTGGGTGTGCCCAGGCTGCTCATGGAGGTGTGACTCTGAGGACTGTGTTTGGTCTCCAGCCTATCCTTCCTGTTGGTGTTTCCCTGTGCTGCTTCTTGTCCCTTATAGTAGGAGAAACTTAGCTTCACCAGGTCCCATAGCATGCAGGAGATCTGGAACTGAGCCTTCTTAAAGTGGAAGCCCAATTAAATCTCTCCTCCTGTAAATTATGGATAACAGACATTTTCACAAGCAACACAAATCTAATACATCAGACTTTGTTTGCATTGTTTTAAGTTTAATTCTTATGGTACTGAAAGAAATTTTATTTTATTTTTACTCAATTTTTTATTTAAAGAGAGAAGAAAAAAAAGACATAAAAAAAAACAATGCAGTAAAAGGGTACAAATAATACAGTATTTCTAGAAAAAAATATATACAGTACGAAATCACCAGTTAACAGACTACACATTATCTTCCCAGAAACAGTTGTCCATATCACTAAATTAAAGCACATAAAGTGAACATTCATACAGTAGAATTGGAGACAGTTCCGTCCAATGATCCAACAAGAGCTGTTATATGGTTTTCCGTCCTACACTCTCGAACATACCTGCGGTTATATCCCTTAGTCCACCTTACTTTCCTCTCTTTTTTACAGTAACAATTAGACTTTTAGAGTTTTTTTTTTTTTTTACTCTCATGGTTCTTATTACTTTTTTGAAGAGAATAAAAACAAATGTGACTAAGCAAAACAGAGTCAGTTAGAACAGAAGGGTGGGCATAGTACATGATGCAAAAATAGAATAGCAGGTGATCAAAAGTGGTTACCATTGGGCCTCTTGCTATTTTCAAATTGAGTTGTCTATATCAT